TTTTATTATCATTTAACTATTTTCTTTTGTTATTACTTTTATAATGATTTTAAATAAAATAAAAGTACATATCTTTTATCTTCAAAGTATGAAAGTAAAAATAAGAAATTTTATTGTTCAAATTTTTAAATGTTTCTAAAAATATTTTTCATATCCAACTATAACTTTAAGGTTGTCCCTCAACCCTAAAATCTTGAATACGCCACTGATTGAAATAGGATATACAAAGTGATTTTTTTAACGCTAACCACTTGATTTTTTTAAAAATAATAATTTTGTGAAGATTTTATTTTTTGATTTATTGGTTACATGTTTATCTTCATTTATTTATTATAAAATATTTTTTATTTTCATCACGTATGTATTATAGAAGTTACAGTTTTAATTTTTTTAATGGCATCATACATATTTAACTAGCTTATAAAATAAAAAACAATCTAATTAAGAAACCAAAAAAAAAAAATTATTGCACTTATTATTTTATGAAAAATTGAGTGGATTATTTTCTATCTTAAGAGTATTTTTGATGTATATTGATGAGATGTGTAAATAAAAAATAATTTATAATTGTTTTACATACTTCTTAGTATTCAAGTTATTATAAAAAAACATAATGTTGCTAATTCAATTATATTAACTTATTATATTCAATTTGATTAACTTTTACCTGGTATTAGAATATTCATATATTATATTTTATAAAATTAGTAAAATTTATAAAATTATATTCCACAAAAAACTTATGTAAACAGTGATGTAATAATTTGGCCATAAAATGCACATAATGTATAGTATACAGTTTGATATACATTTGTTATATACATCTGATATATAAATATTGTAATTGTGATTTATTAAGTATACTACTCTTTTTTTTTGTTAAATAATATTTTTTTCATAAAAATGCATAGAGTAAAATTTAATTTATTTTCATAAGACATTGTAAATACTAAGTTTATTGTAAGAAAAAAATTAATTCTGAGGGTAGATTTTAGAGATAATTTTCGAAAGTTAAATGAAAACCAATTATTACTATTTTTATATTAAATTAAGAATGATTTAAACCTCTAAATAGACTCTTAGAAAATGTTTATTCTTAGAATTAACTTTATATTTAACATAGTCCATAAAAATGTACTAAATAAAATTAGATTTACTTTTATGAACCATGTTAAATATAAAGTTAATTCTAAAAAATACATTTTCTAAGAGTCAAAAAACCTTATTGAAGGAAAATTGACGAAAGTAGGTTAAATTGTGTTATTATGGAACAATCGAGGATTTATTTAACTTTAAAATTATATAACATAATTATTATTACGAAATCTTCAAATACGTAGAGAAAATATTAATAATTTCATATACTTTTAAATTTTAATACTTTTAGCGCTATCAATCCTTCTATATGAAATTTATATTAAAAGAGCCGAGAAGGTCCAGTAATTGACATGAATTTCTTTTTAGTTCAAAGCATATTTAAATGTTAACATAAGTCTTAAATTATACTACATAAGTCATCCTTACAATAAAATTGATTAATTTTTATGCAAAGAGTCATTATTTCAAGTATTATAGATGGTGTTTACTTATTGGAGGTTGATTAGCAAATGAGATAATTAACCTATTCTTAATTAATGGATTTTTAATTTTCTGAGAAATTGATTAAAACTCAATTTTTTTCGGTGGAGCTTAACGAATGAATCAGGTTTGAAACATATTATTATGAATCTCTTATGTGTATAACTGCATGATACAACAAAAATTCACATACAAATATTTTTATAGTGTCGGATTATAACTTATTGAATTTAGAGGTCAAAATTCAAATATTTTATAAATATATTTTTTGTTTATTTACAGCAATTGAACTCCGAAGGATACATACCCTATTAATCCAGTTCTTATTATTAAGAAAGAATCCGCAATAAATAATTAAATATTTAAAGAAGAACCCGTAGGCGATTATGTAAATAATTCTAGTCATATGATATCATTATTTCAACAGTGTTTAATGAACGTAAAATACTTTTTGTACAAATGTAATTGAATTTACTTGCATAATAATATATTTTTTTCAAATACCTAGATAAAAAAATCTCAATACACTTGAAAATATTTTTATTAATACTCAATATCAGTCGATCAGTCAAAATTGTTATTTGTAAATCAAGTTTAATAAATTATGTACAGATGAATTTTTTAAACACATTAATTCTGTAAAAATTATAAACCGTACAAATACCTATAATGTTAAATCAATACCTTCATTTAAAAGATATATTTTTTATTGAGTGAAACATTTTAACAAAATTTATATGAACCTTTATGAATGGATTGAATATTTTTACTTTTGTAAATAAAACGTCAGCAGATATTGTGAGTTAATTGTACTACGAATCATTTTACAATTAAATATAAAACAGAAATAATTAAAATTCTTCTATAAATTATTAAATTCGTTATAATTTTATTTCTTTCTTAGTATTTTAATAGTTCAATATATATTAAACTATTTATAACAATAATTTTACATATTAGTAGAAAAATAATTAAATTAGTTTAATATTATTTTAATTGACGTGAATTTTAATCATTTTGTATAGTTTAAAAATATAATCGTTAAAAAACTTTCTATTAACTAACAATTGATTAAGTTATTTCTGTAAAAATTGCTAAATTTTGTTAATGATTTCCGGTTTATTTATAAATATAGAATTTATATTATTGAATCACATAAATTTATTTAAAATGTATTTTTTATTCTAAATCGATGCAAGTCTACAATAATGTTTTTAGAACATATTGATTGTAAAACTCATTTAAACTATTTAAAGTGAGAGTTTGGTGAAGGTCGATCTTTGTCCGTAAATGGAAATATTTAACCCTTTCGGTTATATAAGAATTACTTACAAGAAAGAAAAATATCGTACCCACATGTAGTTTATCTTGAAACAGATTTGGAGTTTGACATTAAGCCGCTGTTTTTTTATAATTTTATTTGGGTCAACTATTTAGTTCCTTGAAACGATTTATTTTTGAAAGTAAAAAACGATTCTCTCTTACCGTTTTTGTATAAACTTCTCATGAGAGAATTATTTAGTGTAACCGTAACGGAGTAAAAAACTGTCCTGCGGTTTATAACCGGGACAAGTAAAAAAGAACTGCGTGCCCAGCGAAAGAGAAAAACCAACAAAACAGTCCCTTTAGAATGTTTCTTAATGGCTCGAAGACAATGACAAGCAATGACCAATACCTGTGTTATCGTAACTCGTTTAATGTCCTGCACTACGGTGAGAAAGGTGTCACTGGGCCATGTCGTAACTTTTATTGCGCATCATTACGGGGGAGTACCTTTTGGAAAAAAAAATAACATATGAATATGCTCCACAAAAAAAATTCTACAAACTAGGTCAAAGAAAACGATAGTGGAGACCTATCCTTATTATCCTTTGCTCTTTCAGATTTAGTATGCTTTCTGAAGTCAGAGTGTTAGCGGTTCTTGGACAGTTCAGTGTTCCACATCAAGTTGGATAGTTCTCTTCTTCTTTTTTCAGTTTGCTGACAAGGTAAGTCATACTACTTTATGATTCCAATTATAGTTATAATTATAGCTGTTAATAGTTGAACATTTGAAATGCGTTAAAATTGATCTAGCAAAACGTTTTGTGTCTCTATATTTGTTTACTCTAAAATTTCAATTTAATTACAATTGTTTTAACAAAAAGTTATCTTTTTATCGGAAATTTACGATCTTTTTTTGCAAATCCTCTAACTAAATAGATTATGACGCTATCTATACGATTCGAATTGAATCGGATTTCATCCCTCTTTGTGAACTGCCAGGGTAGACAGACAGATCGAGTGTAAGGGTAGATAGCGGCGCTCTGAGAGTAGGCAAATGAGAGAAGAACGGAGATAACTCGCGCAGGACATTTTACTCATCCATAATGTGCCCGCATGTGTGACTCCTCCTTTTTGGTATGGCGCCGTGCTCCCATCACATTTAATTTTTTCAGCTGCAGACCAGCCATCAACCGTCACAACAGCTATTCGGTAATATGACTATATACTGTATATACTCGTATAGAAAATCCAATGAGCATTAAAAATATGTATAAATCTAAATATTTTAGTCTGGTCGATGAGTCATCAGGCCGGTACAAATCTGAGGTACACCTACTTCCGTGACAAAAATCTAACTGACATTATTGCTAGGACTAACTTCATATAAATTTTATCAGTTTCCTCTAAAGAGAAGTATAAGATATATCTTATGAAAATAATAACATTCATCGTGTGAACACATTTTCTACGAAGTATTTAATTAAGATGTTTTGATATGTAACTGTAAAATTCACGAATTTCTATTTGATGCTCGCGAATCAATTAATTTATAATTAAGTATGACAGCATAATATTAACACCATGAATCTCAAGGAAAATAATTAAAAAGATAAAGCGGATCGTATTTTTTCATTCCACCAATAAGAAATAAAAATGAATTTTAAAAATGTGCTCATTAGCCAAACGAGATTTGTTTAATATTCCCCGAGTCATACATATAATACTATATTTATTATGTAAACGTATCCTTATATTTATTTATTATTATATGTAAGTACATACGCGCAACGTTCTTTATAATAGCCTTTAAAATCACGTGTCAGATATTTGAGCCCTAGGATACTCTGCAGACTAAACAATATTTTTTATGATCGTTTTTTATGAAGAGCTGTCATTGTTGATAATGATAAATAATTTAAAGCCAATCAACCTCGTACAAGCCAAACTATTAGTCATACCATAATACTAATACACTTATCTAAACTTCATTTTAACAACTTTGGGCTGTAGAGCTACATAAATATCAGTAATTAATGTGAAAAATTACAAAATAACCTCTCTTTTCACATTTAAACCAAATTTTTAAGATTTAATGAACAGATAGGCGTTAAAAATGAATGAATTCTAGTATTTTTATTAGAATATATGTTTCTTACCTGTAAAATTTTAAACGTCTTATGGTTCATTATTATCATACACCATAAGATGAATTGCCACAACTAAATCGATATACATTAACGGCGTTTCACTACATCGAACACACACGCACTCGAGTTTTTATTCGACACCTAAAAACAATTACAATTTTATAAAAAAAAATATTAATTAACTTAATTTTCCTTTAATTTTTTATTTATTTAACTAAATTATATGGAAATAATAATCATTTAAAAACGGTATCTTTTTTTTTTAAGTATTCTGATTTAATTTCTAGCAATATAATAATATTCTCAAAAAAAATGAAACATGATGTTTATAATTTTAAAAATATAAAAAAATACATATAGATAAAATGATTCTGTTATCACGAACCCTTAATTAATCGAAAAATAACAATTATAATATGATTATTTATTCTTTGTTTCTTTTATGTAAATGTTTGTTTCAATATACGATATGTTTAATAATGTATACGTATATGCATATATTAGATTATGTAATATAATGTGTATATTAATAATGAAGTAATTATCTGGTCAGTAACCATTTTTGACCGAGTATTTTGGAAGTTATTTAAAATTTAAAGTAATGGTTTGTAATGAAACATGAATACTACTATTTTTATCATAAGAATTTTTTCGATCTCAATCCTCACTTGGTCAAAAGTGTTAATAACATCCGAAATACTGGTCCAAAATTTATTTACACTCAGTTCTTTTTTTAATTAAATCATAATATTATATCTAATAAATTAGCTAATTAATTATATAACTTTCTATTTTAAAAATTAAGTTGGTACTCTTAGGACACATAAATGATGACCATTTAAAATAATTCAATATTAATAAATGAAAAAAAAACATTTATTTAAAAGAAACATGACATTATTATTATTTTTGGTTTAATTAAGTGACTGAACATAACAGAAACACTCAGTATGTTTATCACATAATTTGAAATTATCGAATTATTACACTAAGCTTAAATATGCAAAATATACTGAAGCCATTATTTTAATTCAATTCAATAAATTATCTAGTAAGTTATTCATGATATTATATTGCAATTTATAATTATGTATGAGCATTAGGAATTGACGATTTTTTATTGTAAAATAAATTACAATTTATTTTATAATAATTCAAAGTAATATTATTTAGCATACACACTAACTACTAAGAAAAGGTTTAATGTTAAAATTTAAAATAGTAATAATATATATTAAAAACTTGTTTTTTATATTAACTAGGGTTTAATAAAATAATAAATAAGTATTAAATTTCTAATATTGAGCGTTTAATAGTTTTTATAACTAAATTAAAATATTTTAACACTCTTCAAAAGATAAAGTAGTCGTATATACCGTTTTAACTATTTTTATTTTCTGATCATTTGTATGTTATAAAAGTATTTCCTCTGTATTATAATTCAAAACATTTTTTCTTGTTCCAATTAATAAACAATTTGTACTACATATACCGGTAAAGCTTTGTTTTATTGCTATGTAGTCATACATAGCTAGGAAGATATTTATGCATTATATAGTATGAACAAATAAAAATGTTAATGGTTCGTAAAATATAGTTTTATAATAAATTAATTATCTACATTTGAATATAAACACCGTATTAGACTACATAATATATTTTGGTATACGATGAAAGTTATAAAAAAAATTTTAATTTGAGGCTGCATGGATGGATAATCACTTTAAGAAAAATATATAACTAATAATTTATTTATAATTGCATAATTTTTACATATAACTTTTTACTATGTCATACAGTACGGTTATAAATAAGGATAGCATCAGCGATGTGAAAAATAAGCTTTAGAAATATATATGGCTATTTTAATTTGTTTATTGTTAGTTTGACAAACATTTTTAACAATTATTATTCTGTTAAGTTCGGAAAATTGTATTGATATTTTAGAATATGATATTTAAATTGAGAGATACGCAAAATTAATTTTCTTTTTTTTTGTACTTTGAATAAGCATTAAAGTAAAACTTAAAGTTTTGTTTATTTTTAAACACCACAATATATTTATGATATATTATTTTTCAAATCATTTAAGTTTCATGTAATATTTTCAAAGCATTGCATTTGTTATTTTTTTTTTTATCTACTATTGGTATTATGTTTCTTTTTTCTATTTTTTAGTAAAAAGGTTTCAGTAATATTTTAGACTTCATATTTTAAAAATATAAAAGCTATCTACTATGGTTTATTTTTGGTATTCATTCAGAAACTAATTTTCTGAATGAATAAAAAAAGCTTATCAATTTTAATGAATGAAACAACTCTGAACTTCAGTTCCTACAAAATCGAATTATCAATATTATATTTAATGAATTCTATGAAATAAAACTAGGTGTTCAGTAAAAAAACACATTAACAATAAGGAAATATTTTTATTAGTCATAAAAAACTATTAAGCTTAATACTTTAAATGAAAACGAAAATGTGAGATTTATCGAATGACATTTATTTCATATTATTTAAAAACAATAATTCTTTATGGATAAATTATAACTAACGTAGATAAGTTTTAAAAAAGAATGGAACAATTATTCTTAAACTAGAAATGAAAATTTTAAAAGGACTTGATCTTATATCATTTTGTGAATTTTATGTTTTAGAACTAAATTAATTTAGGACAAAAGTTTTTGTTAATAAAAACTTTTATTGTTTAAGAAAAATTTTTCTTACACAATAGAAAAATGAGCGAAACTTTAGTCGATGTAAAAGAAAATAATTATTATAAGAATGTTAGTCTTTTATTTTAATATATATCGTTATTGTAATTGTTTTATTTAATAAAATAAAATATTCATATTCTATTACTTGAAGAAGTTTTTCAAACATTTCAGTTTTATAAAATAAGATTACTATGTTTTTAATCCAGATTTATATAGTAATAAATTCAATAAATATAACTATTAGTGCATAATACTATACAAGAGACATTTATTTTTATTCATTTTTTCTTCTAGATGATTAGCGAGGAAAGGAATTTTTTGACAAAATTTGAAGTACACTCATAGAGGGCGGCCTAGGTTTCTACAACGTTAATTTTTAACATAATAATCCAACTAATTTAAATAAAAAATTTTAATATTAGAGAATTTTACCTACAAAATAATTTTTTTTTGTAAACGTATTATTTATTATAATCAGAAACAAAATTTTTTTTTAATCTTAAACTCAAATAAACAGCATCCCTTGTGTAGATTTTAATTGGTGTACATTATATTTAACATTTCAAGTGATCCCAAAAAGGTCGTATTTTTATCAGTTACGACCTTGACCTTGTACACGTCTATCCCCAAAAACTATAATATTTCAGTCATTGACCGTCTGAAAACATAATACTAAGCGACCGGAGCACAGATATACTTCCTTGTGATGTTACGTTTACGACTACTCGTTAAATCACACATTACAATATTGTTGTTTTTGTTATTATTTTTCAATTGGAAATCAATTTGCTAGAAATTTCATTGTACAAACAGTCCCGAGAGTGCCAAAAACGTGTGTACAATGACGTCACGTCAATACGACAACAGTTGTAAAACAGATTTTATGGCCAAATTTATTATCATTATTATTACTGTTGCGCGTAACCTTTACTAACATAGGTCAGGTTCACTGATACTATTTTCAATATACTAATTTTTCATTTAATTATATTCATATTGTCTATCGTTTAAACACATTATTTTATGTATCCTCTAAATTGATCGATTTATTTGTACTTTCGTTTACTAAACATAATTAGTACTGCTTTCAATAATTGAATATAATATTATATAAAATATATATTGTACGTGTCAGTAATATTGAAGTAGTTAATATTAGATCATTTCCAATGTATTCACTAAGAAATTTTTTGGTAATAGCATCTTGCTAAAAAAACAAACAGTAATTACAACATAATAATTAGTTTATGGAATTTAAACAAACATTGTTGTCTTTCGTTTTTAAAATTACACAATATAATGTTAAGAAAAGCTCATGTTAATTAGCTATTTAATTAAATTTTTTTTTTTTTAACTATACAGTGTGTAGTATGAGTTGGCCTAACGACGCATAAAAAAATTCAATTATTTTTAGCGAACGTATATCTCATAAATGGTATCTTGTATCCACAGACAAAATACCATCAATATTAATGACTTCATTATTGCCCCATGTTCATATTTAAAGCAGAAAACTAATAAGTTTTATTACACACACAAAAACTTCGACATAATTACAATTTCAAAGATGCAGATGTTAATGTTTAACGGCATGAATGTGTCTATACTAAAATAAAACATTCTTTAAACGAATGTTTTAAATAGTAAGAGTTATACTAATGAATATTTTTCCAATAAAATTCCATTAAAAAGGTATATGTACATAAATAATTCATTTAGTAATAAAAAACTGTTTGTATTTATCGGTTTTTAATATTATATTATCTTACAAAAAACCTTATAAAATAAACTAATGTAACTATCAATCAATTTTCAATAGCATAATTTTTACGGAAGGAATATAATTGTTTCATTATTACATTGTTTATTTTATTATTCATGGGCATTTTTTAAAGAATGAATTACTTAAAAATATATTCATTATAAGTAAAAATGTTATATTGTGCAAATTTTTAGGAAATAGAACATTAATCATCAGCTATCAATTACATTTATTCCTGAAATAACATATATGTTCATTTTTATTAAATCATCTTGTTAATTACTCTTTTTTATTGCTTATGACGTAACGATTAACTAAAAATAAGCTGGTATTATACAAGAGAGTATTATGTAATTAGATCAATAATAACACCAAACGAATTGTTTATAAAAATAAAATATAAAGCCAAAATGCTTTAAAATCTAATTTGTTTTCCAAATCAAACTGACCATAAGATTTTCGTTACACCCTAAAATTCGAATAATTTGTTAAGTTATCAAAAATCAAAACTAAATTGTAATTGCCAATGTTTAAACTTTTTATTTTTGTGTAAAATTCACTTAAGTATGGATTTATATGAATTAACATTAGATTAAATGAAATCTCTGTAAAAAAAATAAAGCTATATTGAAATAAGCGATCCACTTTTTATTATTTAAACGAATTAAGATTTACTTTTCTTAATTGATTAAGACAAAAATTTCCTCATATATTAGTTTAATAATAAACAGGAAATTTAATATTATTCTCCGTAGAGTTAAAATAGGAAACACTTTGAAAAGTCTCGGTCGTAGAAAAAAAATCGAATTTCGATTTTCACAAAAAAAAAACTTTCAGAGTCGCAGGAAATAATACTGAAAAAACCCAATCATATGTCGCAAGCCAAATTGAGTAAAACGTATCTCGATTTGCTATTGTACTAGTATATCAAAGCTACGTCGTACGCAATACACAAAACAAATGGACAAAAGCTCATTTTTCTTTATGTATACACTCTTTTTGCTTCAAACAACTTTCCGTAGCTCAAGTTACAAATCGTCGTCGTTCTCGTGTAAAACGATTTCCACCGCTCACTTTTCTACCACCCACGCGTGTCTCTTCGAATAACTCAAGGTTTCCGACCTCTTTCGTTTGTTTCCCTTCTGTAAACTCAATACAACAATTTGGGTGCACGCAAGTAAAAGGTAAACGCGAATATGTGTGTACGCTTGGCGTGAGAGTCGTCGCAGCAACCCAGTAATAAGTGTATAGCGTGGGGGATTCTGAAAAAAAGAAACAAATGGGGCGTTTATAAAAACTACCATTTTGTGTAGGGAGAAAACGTATTTCATTTTCAACGCATTCCCAAATACTTTTTCAAGACCAACTGTGTATACTTGCAAATACTGTTCTAGAGATGTATACTTCGCATACGAGAAAATCGACAATGACTGCCATAGCCTACAAATGAGTTTCATACACAACGCCAGCGTTTTTTTACATTATACTCAAGTACTTGCATAGTATACTTGTAATAACATATGTATGTTTATTGTTCAAACTAAATAGTGCAGCAACAAGAATGAAACCCTTTTTTCTGCGAAATAGATAATTGGAATCTTTGAGCTTCTTAATTACTGCAATGAATTTCGTAGAAAACTATGAATTATTTTATAAGATGTGATTAAAATTTAATGAGTTTTATTACAGAAATCACGTGTATCATACGCATTTAATTTAAGGAAAATTGTACTCTATCGATTGAAAGCATGAAAGTATTGAAACTGGAATTTCATGATTTTTCAATAATTTCATTTAAACATTACTCGCTGTCAGTGTAGTAAATTAAGTATATAGTGTAACGAATAATTTAAAAATTTGTCAGTTAAAATCATTTTCATCCTTTAAAATTTAAATATTTAATTATTCATGAAATAGATATTAGACATTTTTTCGAAGATGTAAATGATTTACCCAAATATTATTTTTCAAGACTTAGTATTTCTTTGGTTACATTAATGCGTGATTATTATTTATGATCCATAAATTATAATAATCCCTGGTTACAATAGACAAAATTCATTTCACCCAACATCATAAAATTACATTCCTAGTTCTTGAAAACTATTAAGAACAAAACAGATGAATTTAACATTTAATTTCATAACGAAAGAATTTTGTAAAAATATACTTAGATTGAGTCGCTCTGGTCATAAAATTTATACTTTATATTGAAACTCTACTTTACATTGAAAATGTAAATACATTACTTACAACTTATAGTGATCAGTGCGGGAATGCAACTAAATAAATCATTGTTATAATTTATTCCTATAAATTTGGTTGTTTGTTTTATGGTATATTATGACTTTGATAATTAGCGATTTATTTAATGTTTTAAATCATTATTCCTTTACTCGTTAAAAGAAATGTTCAATCAATAACATCTACTTTAAAGAACGCACAAAATCATTTGGGTCAAATTAATAAAAATCTAGTGTGTATAATTATGTGATCCGAGTCTGGATCAAAACTAATTGAATGTAATCTAATGCAATTGGTCAATGTAGTAACACTTATTGAAGTGTGGTTATTGTTATCACAATTATTCATCCAATTTTAAGTAACTGGTCTAAAGATAGGGTTCGTTCAAATAATGAAATACTTAATATATTAAATTTNGGTTCGTTCAAATAATGAAAAACTTAATATATTAAATTAAATTTGTTTGTAATAAATACAATTAAAGTAGAGTCCTTACAAAATTTAAATTCGTAAACACTTTCAAATCGAAAGTTGTTGAAATAAAACTAAAGATAACTATATTAATTTAATTAAAAAATAACCAAGTGAAGATCTCGCACATGAAAAAAAATTCTCAAAAATAAACGTCAAAGCTTAACCATATCTATATTTGGATTCACTAAAATTACTTATCTATTCTTCGGCTATTCTCCTATATACATTTAAAATATATGTTAAAAATATTTTTTCTTGTATACTTTATCCATATATTCTTACTGCTTGGTAAAACTAATTAGGCTGATAACGATAACTATATTACGTGGTTTCAAAGAAAGTTACATGTTACATTTTAAATGGCCTGGAGTATTTCAATAACATGCAAGTATTTTAAAAGTGTTTTATGTTAAATTATTTTAATTTCAAACTACATTTATGGACTACGTTTTTTGAAGACAGTTATTATTTCATTTCGTAATAGGTTATCGTAAAAACCACTTACAAGTTACGTTAATTTAACAAAAAAATGTGTTAGCGTAACCTCTACAGTTACTGCTACATTGTTTATTACTATTACCGTTTTGTTGACAAATTAAGGGAAGGAAAATCATATTTAAAAAGATCCCATTCATGTTTTTCCCTGTTAAACCGTTAAAGGTGTATTTTGTAACGTTGGCACTTTTAGTCAACGCAAGAAAAGTCAAGAATTCCCGTTTTACGACCTACATGACAAATGATATCTGTACAAAGGTACACACGTCAAAACTTCTTTTGAAAACTTATTTCTCGTTGTTCTTACCTTTTCTCCAGGGAAACATATTATGGAACATATATTACTTCCTTTTTTTTCATTTGATACTGTTTTGACACCTGCGTCATAGTTTTTCGTTACTTTGAATTTGTATTCGTTCCATTTAAAAGAACACTGCAGGGGCCATTTTTTTCAAGGGGAGATAATGATATAAATCATTTTCTATTCGTATGGAGAATGATAAAAAATTAGTGACACAAATATTTCCTTATTATTACTCTATAGTCTTTTTTTAATGGTATTGCTCACAATAGAATATTTTTTTCATGATTGTAGATGATATAGAAAAATAGTTTAAACCATAGGTAAAGCGCAATATTATTTATTTTTATGTTGTGTTGCCACAGGCTTCAAATTACAAGACTGCATTTATTTACGATTAACCTTCACGTCAAACATGTGCATATTGTGCATTGAGATAATTAGATTTAATGAACAAACGTCGATACTTGAGTTATGCTATAAATCTTCTGTCAATATAGTATTTCATACGTAGAAACTATTGTTTTTGCGATGACTTGCTTGTATATTTATAGCAGTGCGTTAAAATTACACGAAACTATAATAGTAACATATATATATATATATAATTATATACATTGTAATTTTAGACGATTAATGACCGGAGGCCGTTTTTATACTCGCCGAATATCGCGCACAACACGTTTTAAATGTATTTAAACAAATATTAATGGTATTTTTAAAACGCCGTTATATACATAAAATGCTCATTAGGCATTAGTTATTGATTGATCTATTTGTAATAGTATCATTGTACATGTTATGATGCGTATTATGTGTAAATAATATGTACACATAATTATTACATTTGAAAACTGTACAATAATGTTCAAATGAGTGTTTGGCATATTAGTGTTGTTTTGTCATTCATTTTAAAAGCATGTTAGATTTTAAAGTCTACCAAATTCACTAAACCGGAATTTTTAATATTTAGTTAATATCACAGAGAATTGTATCACATCACGTGAATAAAAGTAAGCAGAGATACTTTTTTTCCTTCATTTTATAATACTACCAAAAGAGTAAAATGTAATAAAACCGTACATCATCATATCGGTTTCTTTTTTTGTGTCTTATAGGTATGTGTTATAGAGTTATTATCTCTCCAGGGAAGAGCAGGCGTGAATTCTAAAGCTTATTAGTATTCCACGAGCTATTTTATCCGGTTATCAGTACGACGTTACGTATACTCAAGAAGCCACGTAGGCAAAATCGGTGGAATAAAAGCAACCACTGTAATACTGCTGTGTATTGCCTTAGGGTCAATAACTATATGCAAATTTTATCATTGCACATAGTACTTTATTCCTTAGGGACTTGCAGGGCAAGATTGTGTAATGCGTTTTCTTTAGACTTCAACTCCAGGATTCATATGAGATAAGAGAGCTTTTACTACCGTGAGAGTACTTTTAAATGGTAAAAGCATAATATATTTTTTTTAACATAGTTCAAATTTTGAAAACTGTTGTTATTTTATATAAAAGATTATTTGTTCGTATTTTGGTCCAATAAAAAGTTCTAATGTTAAACGTATTATGATCATACAAATTATAAATTAGTCAAAAATCAAAACTTAAATTGTGAATCATAAAAACTTTAAAAGAGAAAACTATAAAAATTTATCTGCGAAAGGAGATTATTTGAATGCTTAATATTCTCAGAAATGCCAATCGAAACAACAATTTTGAAAAATTATATTTACCTAAATAATATTTTCTAAGTGGCGGAAATTAAATTTAATACTTCAAAAAATTTTCAACAAAAAGTACCTATTATCTGTGTAGTATATTTGTGACTACAGAAACAACACAATTTCATGATAAAATAAGTTTTAGTAATATTATATTAACCTAAATCCCCCACAGGAGTCGTCTTAGTGGAGCTCATTTCTTATATGTATATGAAATTAAATTTATTTAATAAAAATAAATTCACCGATATAATTTAAGTTAAAAAGATAACTAAAAATATTTTTGTAATAACTATCTGGCACAGATATTAAATATTATATTAATAATTTATTGATTATGATTTATGATATCATGGCCGACCCCAAGTAGAAAAAGAAGACTATTGATTATAATTTATAAAACAGAAAAACTGAAATTATTAATAATTTATGTATTTTTCAGATGTCACCAAACAAATGTGAAATTGTTCGAGGAATGGTTATAATCAAGCGTTGAAAAAGGAATATTAAAGTAATTACTATAAATAAAACTGAAATTCTAATATTAAGTTTATTATTACAAAAAATGTTTCACTTTATCATAATTTAAATGCAACATAAGGGTGTTATAGAAAACTTTATTTTTATTAATTGAGCCAAACAAAAGTGAACCAGAGTACATTTATACAGTTTCGAAGTTTCTTTGATGGCCAATGCACTTCGGCGTTTATCTTGTTAAAGTATTGCAAGATGTGTTATTTATGCTACAATAAAACTTTTGTTTTCTAAGTCCAACATTTAATTAGATCTCTGTTTAATTTAGCAGTTAGATATTTATTATTTCAGTTCCAGATATATTTTTATAAGCTTTTACTATGTTTAATCAAATGTTATTAAACAAATGTTTTTTATTTTATATTTCTGCAAATCTTTTAAGTTTTTTTTTTAGAAAAAATATAATCATAAATAATAATTACAATCTGAATAACAATTTGAACCAACTACAAAATAAGTTTTAAAACAATATATAGATTCTTAAAATTTAATATAGCAAAATCGTTTTAATTAATACAAATATCCAGTGTTCTATGGAGTACAATATATTGAACTTTCAGTAGCTTTTTTTGACTTAAGTCATTTCTGCAAAAGTAATTTAAAAAAAAAAACTCCATGTCTAACAACAATCGTAATAAGAGTGTTTTGTTATAATATCATACAATCATTTCAAGAATGTTCAAGTGTTTCAACATTTTCTTAAAAGTAATATTCGAAAATTGCATGGGGGAGTATCAGCCGTCAAAAAAGGGGAATGGAACATTAAAAATCAACCATTGCAGTCTAGTCGTTTTGGACACGCGGTACAGTTTACTCAGCAGTGTAAAAAAAAGTTCTGGAAAACCTTTAGACGATTAAACGATTTCGTCTGTTGAAGGCACAGCAAACGTCAAATGATTGCGCGTGCTAAAAGAGGGAAAAGTCCCCTTATCCGTCAAGTTAATGTCAATAATGTATACTTGGGTTATTTTTTACTCTCCTGGTATTTCAAGATTACCGGAGATCATTTTCATTTGTGAAATGCAAATGCCTCGTTTAAAAATGAATGCATACACATTTACCGTTTTAGTAATATTACACTACACCGCGCCTGACGTTAGGCTTAATATTTTAAAGGGAAAAGTAACTACACGTTATCATTTGATGAAAACAGCACTCACGAACTGTAGTTACGGACTCCCTTTAGCTGGGGATTTTTGCATTATCATTAAAGTGTACGCAACGCCAGGATGTTGTTCTGGCGAAGGGGTGATGAGAGTATGTACGTGTACCGTAATCAGAAACTGCGTCTCAGTTATTTTTATGGCTGATAATAATCGTGATCACATTAAGTCTGTGAAGGGGGACACGAGCTAAATGGACACGCAGAGCATTGTTTGTCGCTATCCACTATTTTGAACATATAAGATCTGTCGGTGGCTTTTTTCATTCACACTCACTTCAAAAATCAACCTCATATAAAATATCCAAATTAAAATACGACACGATACATTATTGCGCCTTAAAAATTATTCAGTTAATAGACATCAAAGTTTTTATTAATCGAGTCTATAACATATAGTTACAATATGTAAACAGATAAGTTTTGGCATGTTTGCGATGGTAAAATTTGGAGGAGCAAAAGTTAAACACAAATAAAATAATCTACTTATTTTTTTATCCAAAACATTAATATCTATTATTTTATATTTAATTAACTTTAATTATAAACATGAGCTAAAGGGTTTGCAAGATAATTGCGTATCATCGTTCCTATTTCTGAATGTCCTCACAATAGCGTATTAAACATTATTATCTAAAGACATTTTAGTATGTTCGTCAAGTATTTCAGTTATTGGATTATTCCGGTTATAACTAATATGATAAAGACATCTCGACGCCATTTCTTTTATAAAATATAATTACAAGTGGAAAAAGCGAAAATGGCCTAGTAAAAAATAATTTAAAAAGAGACTATTAGAAAAATGTGTGTAATTATGTAAATATCATATAAAATTCAATCAAGTTACTTTTTATCATAAACTAGAATATCTCAATTATTTATAAAAGCTTTTCATAAATTCATAATAAAAATTTTCAATTATAATTATTTCTTAAAAAGATTATTAGATGATTAATTAGATATTTATTGAAATTTTATTGAACGACAGTTATGATTTATTTGCTAATTTTAGACATATAATAATATCATGTGCCATAGTTTAATATTACTAAAAAGACAAATCAGTAATTGGTATGATAATAATTTTATGAGTTAATTTAGGCACCCGACGATTGATGAAATGAGATTTTGATAGTCAATAAAGTAAAAATTACCAACCCGCACATAAAAAAAATAGCGTGAAAACGATTTAAAAAAGTTTTACTGCGCAAAGATACGGTCGACGAGTGAGCGTTGTTGGGATTGACATTCAAAACATATACTTAAAGGTTTTATGAATACTTAAGCCAAAGCCGTTGTGTAATTTATGATTTTACCGACTGCCGTCGTCTTTGGTGTATCGCAGGACTAAATATACTTATGTATAATAAAAAAAAAAAAAATAGGAATAAGTATCCGTGATGCGCTCACGCAATACTTCTTAGCTATTGAATAGGATGTATTACTAAATCAAGTTTATCCTTAGGTTGTGTACGGCAATTTGAAGGGGACAATACCTAAAAAGGAAACGAAACTAAGTATATAAATGTAGTGATAAGCTTGCATTGTATCTATCCAGGCAGACGAGTTTTTTGTAACGATGCTTCCACCTTTTTAAAATGTTTATTCGAAAGTATTAAGAAGGAATACAGATAAATAAAACAAAAATTTTAAATACACGTGAACCGTAAAGAAGGGAAAAAACTCTACATTTGAATATAGTTTTTTAAAGTTGACAAAACATAACGCAGATTTTACGTTATTACATTCAGTATAAATATTTATACTAGAGTTAATAGTAACGACAGTTTGGCAAACTTGAAAAAAAAAAAAAAGAAATCGAGACATCGAACCATCATGTTGGTTCAATAGAATATGAGACATTAAAATTTACAACTTGAGGTTTTTAAACTTAATAAATTATGTTGTACAAAAAATTAGATAAAATAAATTTACTTAAGCATTTTAATCGGAGCTAGTAGTTTTTAATTAAATACCAGTACGACCGGTTTAATGGAATACGTTGATATAGCGGCAATCCAATTTCAAAATATTTCACATACAGTAATTTAAAAATAGATAAATGATAAATTTCCCGAGTATTTTTATCGCAAGCATAAATCTTATGAATAACAGACAAAAACTTTGACCCTATGGTATGAGAGTGATTTTCGTTTTTATCAATTGAAAAACTTTTCTATTTTCTAGTTATGTTTGGACTCATAAAATTCAATTGGCTTTTGATCTGAATTGTCAAATAATAATAATAATAATATTTGGACGAATAAATACAGAATCAAAATTGATGAACTGTATGTTATTATCATACGAGTGCGACCAACCATGAAGTGAAATCTGGAATTTCTGAAATTGATTTCAAAGGATTGGATTAGTAGGTTTTACCGCAACGGAGTTTTCCACTTATATCCGTTACATTGAATAGATTATAACTTAAATTGATTGTGACCAACGTATAAATAAATAGCGTATTTACAAAGTTCACCGCAAATAAAATTGGTATGGTAAATAATGTGTCCCAGACTCCTATATAGAGTAGACTGTACATGTCTACAAATAGATATTCTGGGATCGTGTACGATTTATACAACTTGGAGAGAAGAGGAGAATCGCGACGGTTGAGATGCGTTTAAGAAAAAAAAAAAAAACACTCGTCCCGGCGGCACCAATCGAAAAATAGTATATACGAATCGAGAGCACGTCGACCAATTTCATTAAAGGTCGGTAATACACACTTATATTGTGTGCACGAGCTATATTGCGTACATACATACGCAATGTATGAGATGTTCGTCCAACATTCATTGAAGGCGATTTATTTTCATGGATTCAACTACTGTTCCTGAGGGAAATTCTATGTTATCTTGTATGGGTTTTCCTGTGGTACACATACACAGACGTCACATCACGGTATATATGGCTGTACATTTAGGACATATCGGATGTCAGTGCGGAGTGTGTGCACAATTCGAACAGACAGAATAAAAGGGGATAAAACGGCGAGGGAGTGGAAGTGGACACTACGAGGTTATGATAGGGGTAGAAAATAAATTGGGTCTTGGGTGACGCGAACGGCTGCGGCTGCGGAGGATTATTTGTAAACGCTGCCAGTGTTTATTTGGATCCTTCCCTCTCCATTCCTCAATATTTATAGAGTTATACATTCTTTCTTCATTTTTCCTCATTCACACATAAAAATAGAATCTTTGACGCGTCATCTCACTCTCGAAATAAAATATTTAAGCATAGTCATCCATTTCCCAAGTAAACACGCTTATAAATAATATACAAAATGCATAGCGAGAACATAAAAGTCTTTAACTTTCACCTATACATAATTCAAATTAAAATGTTGTATGAAAAATGTTAAACCTTCTTTGGTAAAATTATACTTAATCAAACAAATTACATTCTAAACCAATTAATACAGTTATCTAACGAATAAATATTATTAATACTAACATAATAATACAAATAAAAATAGTTCTCATTAGTAAAATTGTATATAAATACAATACGGGATAAACATTTATTGTACAATACAAAATTTTAAAAAATTTCCCAAAAAAATCTATATTTTCCTAATTCATTTTTATTTGACGTCGAAATATCAAATAGCTTACTATTGTTTATTTTAATTTAAATTGGGTATCTATGTAGTTTTATTATAATTGAATTAATTATTTATTTAATAATTTAAACATTATTTTATGAAAAATAACTCAATTAGTATTCTAAAAAAACTGATTTACAAACACGAACAATCGAATTTTTACTAGCTCGTTTTAATTGTTCATACATTTCGATTTTTAATCTATAATTAAAAACAGTAGTAAAAACAATCTTTGATTAATGGTAATTATGGCAGTCGTTATTTATAATAATCTTTATGAGAAATTGATATTTTTTTCATTTTACATTAGAGATCTTTTTCCTTCTTTGTAGAATGTTTTTTTTTTTTTAATGACAACATTTACAATTGGAACAGTAGTTACATAGTTGTATGTCACAAAATATTCTTTTTCTATGCCGCAGTTTCATTTTACTTGTTGAGATATTTTTCATTAGTCACACGTTGTATTAGCGTGAACGATTATTGGAGTCGGCAAAATACGTAGAATTATGTTTGTGTCGAGCAAATTACTTTTTTCAGTTATTAAAAAAAAAAAAAAAACAATATTTCATCCACAGCAACGGAACTCGTTTGTTACGAATTCCCTGTAATCGATTTTTTCATTAATTCCCGTAAACGCGTTTCGCGTGTGTTGTTTGTGGATCGAGTACCGTGTTACCAGACAATTTATGACGTTTGCCTACAATGGTTAAAAAACTATTTTTTTTTAACTCTAAAAAAAATATCCCATTCGATCATTATTTCAATATTGCTACAAGTTTCCGAAACGTTGCGTTTACATGAGAAACAAATTGTGTTATTTTGAGAGATGAATCGTTTTATGTTCATATACATTGGAAAACTTAGCCGGATGTACTTCTTAGAATGGATTACTTTCCTTGAATGGATTATTGTATAATTATTTATCGATAAAAATTTACGTTCATTAATCTTATTGTTACTATCTATCATAGAAATATTTTTTTACCAGTAACTATGGCTCATTGATAAAGATAACCTTTTTCTTCTAACTAACAGTCCTTATCTATTTCGCGTTAACACTAATCGATTTACTATTTTTTTATCACTATGTCTACACTAACAATAATTTAAAGATTTATTAATAACTATTAATGGCTATAATTTAAGATCAATTATTATTTTGCTTTTTAAATAGTATTTTATAAAAAAAAAAATCGGAAATTTTTCACTATTAATTCATTTTATACATTTAACATGATAGAATTTTTATATTCGTTGAACGTACTCGTTAAATCAAAAGGCATATGTCAGTAGGAGTAATAAAAATTAAGAGTGTAACCATTTTTCATTGTATTAATACAATTTTACCAGCCAGTTTAAGGTTCGAATAGAGAAATAAAAGTAAATCTTGGCAGAATTACCATTACCGATTATTAAGAGTACGGAGTTATGTACACAATTTATCTGACGTTTTTATGTTTGTTTGCAAGCGCAAACGTTTAGTTAATTATGCATTAGTACCTGCATTTCTCTCATCCGTTATCGCGAAACAAAGTTCAGTGGCATTGATATAGTTAACTAGCATCAAGAGATACAATCCCACTTTATTATTCATATTCTTGTAGTAATTCTGCATTACATGTAATAAGATATTATGTAAAGTGCAGAAATTCAATTCTATGTGTTCATACGAGTGGAAAATGGTTTATTCTCAGTGAACTGTAAAACAGTAGCGCTACTACACTGTTCACTTTTTATGTCCACTCGGTGTACATTGTTGTTGTTTATGAAATACCATTAGAAACTTTTTGGCTGCCGTTGCACGAGTTTACATTACACACTTTCCCGAGCTCGCACTCTTCTCCCTCTGTCATCTCGGTTGGCGGCACATGGATGTATTATTCACCGTCGAAACTACGGTTTGTTGTTAGCTGTTGTGTGCCAAGGCGACCGTCATTTCGAACGCCCTACGCCGCCTATTTAATTTATTAAAACTCTCGCAGCCGCATACCACCACCGAGTTCTATAATACGCTATCAGCAGGAAAGCAACGGCCGCAGCTACTGCCATTTCCGTTCCCAGAGGGATAGAAGATTCGGTTAACTCTCGCAGGCCCCATGTGCAGGATTTGCAGTGGAAGGTGTGTAGGGAACACTGACGGTGTTATCTACATAGCGTACTATAGTTTTTCCCAAGAGCTCTTCAAAATTGAAGAACCTCCGCCCTATCACCAACAAGCATACCGATATACGTATATATCATCTCTTGTGCGCTTTCCGTCAATAGCGCCCAATGAGATAAGCTTAAACGAACATTAAGTATTGCAGGTGACAAATATTAAGACAACGACAATTTCGGGTCTTTCATTTTTGACCACTACAACCGTAGTTACGCATAGAATATAAAATCAATATATATAACAACGAAAATTCCTTTTTATTAAGATGTACAATACCACATGAGTTGTACAAGAATACTATGGTTTAAAACGATATTTTGTAGTAATAAAAAATTATTGTTTTAAAGTTTGCAAGTTTTTGTTCTTAGCTTAAAAAAAACCATTTACACATGTCAAGAACAATTTTTTCATCTCGATTTTTAAAAATATATCGGAAGGTTTGGCATCAAACATTTATGTTCTAGTGAAATTTTAAAATATAGAAATTGTAAAATTAAAAATATAAAAATTATGTAATTTAACAGATTTGTATCAAAGCTTTTCTATGATAGTGATGTTGTCAGATATCTATATTTATATGTCCCCTAAGTTGCGACCTCAATGACTGGGTTTTTTTAAAACATATTTTGGAAAAAACAAGGTATTTTAATTAATTTATGCTTATAATTTAAACGTTCATTATTCAAGCAAGATTAAATTATTGAAGTAGTAGTAGTTGTATTTAAAAGATAAATTAAAATTGTAAATTATTATTATTATTCGAACTCACGATACAGTAAATTTATTCATTACGTTTAAATTTAGCGTCTATTGGTATAAGGTTATTTTTTGCCTTTAACTTTTTACTTAGTGAGTTATAAAAAATAATTACAATTTTCACCATTGACATTTCATGATTTTTACTTCATGGAGTACAGATATTTTAAAATGGACGAATAATTTAAAAAAAATAAAACATAACCATATGAAAATTATGAATTAAATTATATAGCTGTGGAATCCAGGTGTTAGGATAAAAAAAAATATAGTGATTTGAACGTTCACAAAATTTATAAAGGTAACAGAATGGTTTTATGGNTTGACATTTCATGATTTTTACTTCATGGAGTACAGATATTTTAAAATGGACGAATAATTTAAAAAAAATAAAACATAACCATACGAAAATTATGAATTAAATTATATAGCTGTGGAATCCAGGTGTTAGGATAAAAAAAAATAGAGTTGTTTGAACGTTCACAAAATTTATAAAGGTAACAGAATGGTTTTATGGAAAAAAAAATAATGCTTTTATCCAGTGCAGCCGGTACTCAGTGCTCATATTCCACCAGACCTAAATATTATGGAACTGCATTGTGGAGTGCATAGAGAAAGACTTGTGAAGACTACTATACAGAAAGTGTTACAATAATACAGCATAGTATAGACCGATTATAGTCATATAATGTACATGTAGTTTGCTGCTCCGCATGAAATGACTGCATAGAAGGGCGGGTCTCTAGGTGTTAGCGGCCATTTGCTGCTATCGACATGGGGTCCACTCTACCGTGTTTATAATAACTCATGATTTTTTCTGGTTTATGTTTTTTAAAGCAATAGCACTAATATTTATAATATCGACTCATATTCTATACTCTGGTAGTGATTATTAAATGTAGAGTTTTTACCAAGTCAATAACCTTTTCTAAATCAAAAATATTATCCAACTGCTTCAGTCGAGACGATCCCCAAGTGTGCTACATAGTCCTTTGTTATATTATATACTCGCACATGATATACGTGTTAATTAAATAGGCACTTGAAATGTACGGGCTCAAAAATGAGTTACAATAATGAAAGTTTAAAAATATATTACGATCACGATTGATGAATATGACTCCTTTCTAGTGTGGAAAACTTGCCTATTTGATTCAAGAAATATAAATTGAAAACAATTAATTTGTCATACATTTTTTATTTGATTATTTTAACACAATGTGATCTAAAAATATTGACTCAACTTTTATTTCTTGAAATAATGATTTTTTCAGTAAAGTGAACAAATTAAAATTTTATTTATGTATGTTAAACGTAGTAAATATTCAGTGTATTATGAGAAAACAAATATTTCTAAGGGTAATATTTAAGGGGAACTTCTAAAAGTTAAACAAGAACAAATTATTATCATTTTTTAAATATTAATCGGCGAAGGGTTTAAATTTTTTTTTGAATGGCTGATAACCAGAAATGTCACATTACTTTCTGGGACATTAACATTTTAAAATTTAGTAAAGGTAAGGAGTGGGATAATGTTTAGCGATGCTCTTTTTTCTTTTATTTTACAGATTAGAATTTAACGTTGTGTATTCTCTTGCTTATAAATAAAAATTATATTAATTAAAAAGTAATGTCACAAAACTGGTTATCGACCAGTCAAAATTTTTATCAATCCATTCCCTATTTAATAGTTAAAAAATAATTATACTTTCCCGTTTATCTACAAAAAAATAATAGTAATTAATAATTATTTCTTTTAATTAACTTAATATTTATTAGGGTTCATCAAAATAATTCAATTTTTAATCTGAACATTTTTGTAAAAAAATAATTATTTAACGAATGAAAGAATAGTGAAGTGGTAGTATCATTATACATTATACTGTATTTTTATATATTAATGAAATTATTTAAAAATGATCTATTTGTTTCAGAAAAAGAATGTAAAAATTATGAAGCTGTTTATGATATGGCGTGAATATTACCATCTATCAAACAATTAACCGACCATGGTCACACTTATCATTAATAAATTTAACAGATATTTTTATTGTACTATAAACATTGTAATTATTTGACTGATTACACCCCACTAATACTACCACGATGTCAAATTTTTATGTTCATGAGTTGTATTTAGTTATAAGTATAATAAACATTTTATACAAGTCATAAAAAATAATTTTATCAGTTTTAAGTATCATTAGTTTTTTAATTCACAATCTAATGACTCCACATTATCAGTATGGTAAAATTGAAGTTATTTGTTGACATTGTATTAAATATAAACACCATAAAGGAAAACATTCTTGGTCTATACAAGACTCATTAAAAAAATTAAATAGTCTAATTAAGAATGATTATAAGTGTACATTATTACAGTTATTAACTCTTATTACTTTTAAGATTTTTCTGTTATTTTAATACATTTTTTACTACACACACAAAATTTATAACTATATCAATAGGGTTTAATATTTGTTTTTTATTGTATTTTAAACGGACGTCCGTTATAAGTTTATCGGCATTTTACTTGTTTTTTTTTTAACTTTTACGACAAAACTCCCACAAAAATGTACTTATTCATAATGTCAAAACAAACACTTGTGTATCTGATTGTTTTTATTGTTGAGGTGATGTGCTATTAAAAATTTTACGACTTCTGTAATTTTCAAAATAAAAAGGACGACATAAACAAAGAATACTGTATGTTACATACTGCGGTCAAATAATTTTTATTTTGTATCAATAATAATGCTAAACACATTCATAAACATTTTTAATTTTGGCTACCAATAAATACAATTTATATTGTTTTGTATTTTTTTCTTTCATCAATAAACATGTTCAAGAATCCTAATTTAAAATTTTATTTAATAGGGTGAGTATTTTTTATTATTTTTGATCCAAATTACATAATATATTACCAATTATGAAATGATATACACATATAAACATGCTAAACTCATAGTATCATTATTATTGATTACAATTAATTTTTATAAAGTGAAAAAGAAATATTATTACTTTAAATATTAACTGTAATACGAACACTTAATAGAATATTAAGCTTTCTCTAGCAGGTAAAATTAAAGTACATAAATCTTGGTTTTTTGTCCATAAAAATGATCTTAGAGCACATAATATAGCATTTCATTTTGTAATTTATGTTTGTAGGATTCATTTCATAAATAGATATAAATGGGATCATGGCCAATACATACAATTTATCATCGCCTTGTTCAGTAATAAAAAAGGTGTACCAGCAGTAATAAAGTGTTAGCGTTGAATGTTGATTAAAATCAACGGCCTGCATGTATATATAGATGGATAGAAGCTGTAATGAATTTAATTATGATGTTGAGCAGTCAAGCGACAAAATCAAATAAATTAACATTACTTGATAAAATTTTACATTTTCACATTTTTTCCTAAACCACAACATTTGTCTTCTTTTTTAAATTGCATGTGTTATTTTTAAAAGTTGTTCATACTTAAATGAACAAGACAGATTTTACTAAACAATTTTAATTTTAAAATTAGTTCTGTGAAATCCTAATATTATACATAAATTATAGATTGAGTAACAAAAATATAATAAATAACTTTTAATTATATTTTAAATAATCTTTTTTTTAAATTTATTGCCTTAGACTACATTCAAACATATATTTTAATATTTATTATAATTAAGAATAAAAAATTACTTTTTATAATTATGAAATGACAATTTTTTAGAGTTTTTATTACAAAGTATTTTGATACGTTGATAAAAATTTTAGAACAAGTATTTTAATACATAGAGTGGGTATGGAAAGCGGGTGATATATACGTACAAAAGTACAAGCTCCCCTGCTACATACAAACATTAATAAAAATTTATGCTCTGAACATAATCTAAGAATACAATAATGATTCAAAAAAAAAATTCTGAACTGAATGATAATTGGATCATTAACTGAAAAATCTATATATTATCTATATATACTAATGTGCATCTAAGCCAATTTCGAACTTAGCCAAGTAGGAAAAGTTGATAATGTGCAAAATAATCAGATAAAGTAACATAAGCCAAACAGTATTGGCTAATATAGGAAATAATTATTTTTTTTTAACATAATATGTAAATTAGTAATTAATAACTATAAGTTGTACCACTGGGTATTAATCCTCATTCAAATACACATGTCATAAATAATATCAGTACATAAATTAATTGCTTAAATAATAACAGGTTTTATACAACATGATTTATAAAAAATACTATCCTCCTTTTATCATTAAATAATAATTCTTCCATAAAATTATACAGATTAAAGTTTAAACCCAAGGGTAAAAATGTAGGGGTGAATTTTGAAAGTTAAATAGGAACAAATTATAATGATTTTTTAACTATCATACGGAGAATGGTTTTAACTTTTTTTTGGATGGTTGATAACCAGATATGTAACATTAATATTTAAATATTAATAATTTAAGATTTAGAAAAAGTTAAAAAAATGTATTACGATCACGATTGATGAATATGATTCCTTTCTAGAGTGGAAAACTTGAGTATTTATTTCAAGAACTATAAATTGAAAAAAATTAATTTGTTATACATTTTTTATTTAATTATTTTAACACAGTACAATATGATCTAATAATATTGACTCCCTTTTTTTTCTTGAAATAATGATTTTTTCAGTAAAGTGAATAAATTAAAATTTGATTTATATATGTTAAACGTAGTAAATATCCAGTGTAATATGAGAAAAAAATATTTCTAAGAGTTATATTTATGGGTAACTTCTAAAAGTTAAACAAAACAAATTATTATCATTTTTTAACTATTAATCGGTGAATGGCTTAAATTTTTTTTGAATGGTTGATAATCAGATATGTCATATTAATTTCTGGGACATTAACATTTTAAGATTTAGAAAAGATAAGAAATGGGGTGACGTTTAGCGATGCTCTTTTTTTACCATGATGCACAGATAAGAATTTTACGTTGCGCATCCTCTTGCTTATAAATAAAATTGTATATTAATAAAAAATGTAATAACACATAACTGGTTATCGATCAGTCAAAATTATATTAATCCATTCCCAATTTAATAGTATATAAATAATTGTGTCTCACAGTTAACTTAATATTTACTACAGTTCATACATTCAAATAAAATTTTATTCATTATACTTTTATAAAAAATCATTGTTTAAGGAAAAAAGGAGTGCAGAATATTAATAAATCATACTGTATATTGCATCTATTATTAAATAGGGTAAAGAACTGATTGAATCTGTTTCTATTACTTGATAAATCTGTGATACGTTTGCTCATAATATGATTTGTTGTTAATAGTCTATTTAATAAATTGTGATATAATGAAAAAGTTTCTAGAAATCCTAGAATCAATAAATTTTCTTTTGAAAAATAAAAAAAATCATATAATTTCTATAGGAGTTGGAGTCATGGAGCTCTTTAAGCTTGGACAAAAATATGATTTTAAAAATATTGTTTTTAAAAATCAAACAATAAATGAATAATTAATTAAAGTTGTTACATAATAACAAAGAAAATGTATATTATATAAATTAAAATAAATATGTATATAACTTTTTTTGACATTTCTTATAGTTAAAATATTAAAATGAATCAATTTAAATTTAATTTAATATAGCATTTAACTAACTAAAAATTCGTTGGTTCAACTATCACATAAAAAATCGATAATCCAAGTTTATTGCAGTGACGCTATCTAACGGATTATTAACAAAGATTAGTCTTTCTTGATTTAACGTTTAGGAGTTATGAACGTTGAAATTGTGGATTCATTCAATTTTTTATCGACCACTTCGTTTCGGTCGGATTTCAAAATACCCATTTTAATATACTGGAGATGCCTGCTGTGCTCTGTGTAAACCTTAGGATATTGTATACCAAGTGTATCATGACTACAAAGGGCTAGGAGGTGGCAGCCATTGTCAGGTTGCTATGGTGATGACCGAACGGACGACGACGGGGCGCCTCGATCGTGTACTACCATGATGTGGTTGTCAAGAGCAACGGTCTCCTGTATTGCCCTCATTCCCAGCCATCAAGCGACGAAGGCGGATCGATGGCGCCCCACCAACACTATATACACCATCTATACTTCAGCCAAAATTAATTTATTGTGTTATTATAATTAGAAATATGTTGACGGCTAAAATAAGTAATCTCAAGAGTTCAAGTATAAAAAGAAATTTCAACATGAACTTGAAAGTGTGTAGTGTCAGAATAATGAAAAATAATAACATTTATGTTTTCCCTAAAATTACTAATATCAAATAATACTAATTAAAATTAATCAGAAACAATAACTAATAAAGTTATTACAATAAAATATGATTTCAAATGTTCTATTTAGATTAATTTAATTAGTGAATAAATTAATTTTCTACTCTTTCTAGAAAAATATTACTATAAAATAAAATGGATGCTTCAACAATTTGAGATTTGCCTCTGTTAAATATGTATGTGAGTATACGGTTGGACTTATAGAGGGCGTGGACATAACTATATTGCAAATATTATTAAAATAATTGCATACATAATGTTTATAGATTATTAGTTTTATAAGATATTTTGCTATATTATATATAAATACTACTAGACTTATTTAAATAAACAGCGTTTCTAATAAAATGTTTTAAAAATGTATAACTCAGACAGAAAAAATCTGAATTTTATGTACTTTACAATTATACATTTTTTCACTCGTACATTAATTGTTATTTGCGTACTGAATTCACAACTGTTGTTAATATTCAAATGATGATGATATGTATTTAAAAGAAATTTAATATTATTATATATTACACTAATATTTCAATTTTTTAACCAAACATATATTTTAGATTCATAATAACAAAAATATATATTATTTGGAGTAACTCATTTACATTTAGTAAATGTTTAAACTATTGGTATGTATAATATCCTCGATAAATATTTCAGTATATTATAAAAATTCTCTAATAAGAGTAGTATTTAATAAGTATTCTGTATTTAAAAACTTTATTATATTTTTGATTTTTAAATTATACATATACCATTACCATAATAATAATATTAATATATTTAACATAACTGAATTTATTATAATTAAGATAAAGTCGGATAAGTCGAATGGGTACTAAATATAAGCTTAACATTGACTTTAAAATATCTTTTTTTTTTTTTTAACAGAAATATACAATATGTACAATGAGCACAATAAGTATATACTACATAAGTAGAAATAAATTACATGAATACATTTTAATAGAAGAAACCACTCATTAGTGACACTTCTCAAACTATTACAATATGAATTTAATAATATAAATAACTTCAACAAATGAAGTTTATCATAAAATTTAATTCTTCCATGGATGTAAAAGTGTAATACATAGCGGTTTTAAAATAATTTTATAAATGTGATCAGCAATTCTGTCTTTTAAAATAAACATGTTAATATTAAAAATATTACAATGCGTAATATGTATGGTAAACAATCGATAATTACAAAAAATTATATTTTGACGGAATAAACAAAATTAATGGTCTAATATTTGAAAATTGATTAATTACTATAACGAACAAAACTAATTTTTAATATATTATTTAATCTTCCAATTTATATTAAACATTCACCAAAATTAAATAAAATCTTAAACGAAAATGTATAGAAAATGAATTTATTCGTTATAAGCATTGATTTTTCTTATCATTTGTAAAATTAAGAATTTAAAATTTATTCAGATTTATCATAAATAAATTCAATGAATGTAAACTCAATAAAAATGTATACTACGTACACATAAAAGATATCCATCAATTTTATTATTATA